AGGAGGGCCCTGAGCGGCAGGCCTGGGTCTCTTGCTGGGTTGGACAGGCATGGTAGGCGCTGGCCTGCGGAGCGGGGCTGAAGGTCGGGAACTTCCCGCTAGCTGAGGGCGGGTGTCGAAGCTCCTTTCTATGATCTGCGCCTTTGCCAGGACTGCCGAATATGTCTCGAGCTCCATCACCAACAAGTGCTGTCTGATCGCCGGGCGGAGACCCCACTGGAATTTCCTGGCCTTTCGGCCCTCATCCAACAATGTCTCCGGGGCATGTCGGCCCAGCTCCAGGAACTTGCGGGCATATTCCGACACTGTCATATTACCCTGGACCAACTGAGCAAATTCCATTTCCTTTAAATGTTGGATGTGTTTAGGGAGATACTCCGCATGGAAAGCCGCTAGGAACTGCTCCCAAGTAACTGGTACAGGCAGGGTGGCCCGCTTGAGCTCCCACCAGCGTACTGCTTCCCCTACCAGCATGTAGGAGGCAATGGCAGCCCTCTGCTCAGGAATTACTCCCAAGGTCTCAAAGGCTCTCTCAGTCTCCGCCAGCCAGTATTGGGCCTCTTCGAAAGAGGATCCCCCTGAAAAGGTAGAAGGGTTCAGTCTCCTGTACCTCTCTATGAAGCCGGGGTCGATCAAGGAGGGAGCGGGGTCCCGAGGTAGAGGGACTGGGGCCGGCTGAGGGTGAACTGGGGGACCCTGTGGTGGCGCCTGCTGATGGGGTGGGGGCACTGGAATGTGCTGTGGCGGTACCTGTTGGTACTGTGGCTGTGGTACCGGGTCGTACCGCGGCTGTGGTGCCGGGTGGTACTGTGGAGGAACAGGCTCCTGCCGGGGTGGCTCGGGATCAGCCTGCTGTAACGGGGGCTCAACCTGCGCTAGCGGAGGAGGTCCGGGTAACTCCCTTCTCTCCTCTTGCCTTCGCTGAGCAGCTACGAGAGCTTCCACCATCTCATATAATCTGTCCAAATCCTCCCGAAGCGAATTATCTTGGGCCGCTCGGTTTAGTGGGGGCCTTCCTCTCCTCATTTCTGTGTACTAAGAGAGGAATGGTTGAGTAACGACCAATCGGTGAGTATTTCTTTAAAGGACTATAGTGTAAGGGATGGGTCCGAGGAAATGCGGCTCTGATACCAACTGTAACGGCCCCGGAAATATTAAAAAGAAATGAGTATTTAAATATATCGAATGCGGAAGCGAGATCAAAATTTTAGTTAACATCCCTTACACGAAAAACCAAAAAACGTACTTAAAATATAAAAGATTAAACTAACTAAGAAAGAAACTCGAAAATAAAACTATGCGTATGACTACAGAGTCTCTAGGCATCCCCTTTGTCGTCCTCCTGCGGAACGGGCTCGGGAACCATGTCTTCCTGATCTGAAATGGTTAATTAAGGAGTGAGCTACACTAGCCCAGTAAGAACATCACGATATCTCACCGTCACGGAGATAAAGGTGGGTAGAAAAACACAAAAAGACCAATGGAGCATAATTTACAACAAACTCTTTTATTAACATGAAAACCTTTACCATCCACTTACCTTGGTGGAATTTATGAAAACTATATAAGAAAAACAATAACATTATCATAATCATTGAATAATATAAGCTGTAAAACATAACACTTATCACGCCTCTTGTAATTCAATCATTGTACAACATATCTCTTTTCTCATTTACCAGCCTACTAGTATCCGTGGGGGTCCATAGGGGTTCCGCTACCCGTTAACCTTTGACATTCATAATCAGTTTCCAGGGCCGTCCCCATACCCCGTCCGGTATGGGCGCCAAAACCATGAACCTCAATACCCCGTCCGGTATGAGGGTGAAACGGGCCGTCCCCATACCCCGTCCGGTATGGGCGCCAAAACCATGAACCTCAATACCCCGTCCGGTATGAGGGTGAAACGGGCCGTCCCCATACCCCGTCCGGTATGGGCGCCAAAACCATAAACCTCAATACCCCGTCCGGTATGAGGGTGAAACGGGCCGTCCCCATACCCCGTCCGGTATGGGCGCCAAAACCATAAGATCTCCATACCCCGTCCGGCATGTGAGACCACAATCCCGGTAGGGTTCCCTACGGACCCGGTCCGTCCACCATCTCCCAGGATATCTAGTCAGGCTGACCCCATCATACAATTATCAGTCTATACAATGTTTCATTTTCCTTTTCCTCAATAAGCATCATCAATTCACATTTAAACAAGCAAATCGTAATTCATACCAACAGACAACATACAGTATCAGTTCTTCAGTCATTCAACCCATAATTAATAAAACAGTAATATATGCATTCGAAACTATAAAATGAACACATCAAACCCCATAATGCATTTAAAGCTGTAAAACAGTGTAAAACAGGCCAAATAACAGTAAATCATCAATCACACTAGACTCGGGCTCCATTAGCAACCTTAAGCAATTTCACACATGCGTTAATTCAAGAAATACCGTTTTATCATTTTGAACTTTAATACCGTGATAGGAAATAGGGTGAGGGGTCCTTACTTGTTTTCGGGATCCGAATACGATTCACAGTGCGCCTGCAGGCCGTCCCTAATTTTCCCTGAATTTTTCCCGGGAAACTGAAACACACTAACCGTACCTGCACGTGTTCCAAAAAAAATCCAAATTAGGCCCAGGGCCTCTTTCGGCCCAAATCGCAACTCCGGCAAGGCGGCTCCGCCGTGCTCCGGCGACGGCGCCGCCGCTGGCGGCGGCGAGTCACCTCGGGTTGACTGTTTTCGGCCGTTTTCGGCCGAATTCGGCCACACTCGCATTGGTCCTTGTCAGAAACAACCCTAGGGCCCTCGGGGGGCCAAAAAATCACGGAAAAACGGAGCTTACCGGTGGCGGCGCTCTCGGGTGCAGCGGCTCTCCGGCGAGGTTCGTGTTTTGGTGATTCGGCTCCGGTCAACCTGTAGAGAAAAGAATGGTGATCACGGTGATATAAAAATTGCATCGAACGGAGGCCGGGAAGGGCCTCGTCGGAGGCAAAAACCGAGAGGGGGCGCGGCGGCGCCGCTGGGCTTCGGCCGCGTATTCCGGCCGTTTGGCCGGGATTTCGGCTTCGATTTGGCCATAGGAGGAATCAGTGGGGAAAAACGAGTCGGGGGTATGAAATTTACCTCGATCGGCGGTCGGAAATTTCCCCGGTGCGGCGGCGAGCGGCGGCGGGTGGCGGCGGTCGGCCTCTGGTTCGTCTTCTCCGGCGAGCGGCTGGCGGCTAGGGTTTGTGGTCTGGTGTGGGGGTTCTATTTATAACCCCTTGCCTTTTGATCACAGCCGTTCATTTTGTTTAATCTGGGCCGTTCGTTTTTGATTGAATCTGGGCCGTCCGTGCGATTG